TATTGCTGTCCAGATGGATGGCTATAGAGAGCTTGATTGTATTCACTTCATTCACCCTCAAGAAGCATCAGACATTATTGGAAATGGAAGAAGAAAAAGATTTTTTTTTGTATGTTCAAATGGATTTTTTTTAAGATTACTTGTTCATGGGATTTCTGAAGTAAGTGTGCATCTATTTTTTTGTAAATGTTAATGAGAACCAACTTTTGATTTTGACATATGGTGGATGATTGATCCCCATTGTTAGGAGGGTATCAGGAGACAAGTTGACTGGTTTATGTGGTAACTTTGGAGAACAAGTTGGTATTTTTTGTAATGAAAACATGCCTTCAAGAGTCCAGAGAGTTAAATACAAGAAAATGCATTATAGCAATGTGTTGTTCTTGTTTTTGTTATGTGCCATCAAGTCGCTGCAACTCATAGCGACCCTTTGTACAATCGCTCTGAAGCCTGCCCTGCCCTGAGTCAGTCTCACTGACTCTGAGACACCTACCCCTATTGTCCTATTCACTGTATCTATCAATCCATCTCATCCGGGGTCTTCTTCTCCTAAACTGTCTCTAGAAGCAAAAAATTAGAAAGGTTTAAAGATAGGAAGATGGTTAAATGTATTCTTGTGTAGCCATGTAGTATAATACCATACCACCATTTAAAGAATGAAGTAGATTTCAGTGTATTGATACTGAAGAAAGGTGGACTGCTTATGAAAACTTAAGTTACAGAAGAGAATTATGGTATGATTTTGTTTCTTTCTCATGTTTTGGTGAGGATAAATAGTGATGATGATATACATTTATTGAAAAATAGGAAGACAAATGTATTAGATTATCAGAAGGCTTGAGATCTGATAACTGGTATTTCAAGAAACTGTCTCTTTGTACTTCTTATGTAATTATAAAAATATAATTTCCACATCATTAAATATTTGAAGGTTGCATTACAATGTATTATAAGATGTTTTAAAATAGTTGCATATACTTACAGTCATGCTTCTCACATTCCACCTTCCAATCATTAGTTTCTGCTTACAACTGTTCCACCTCTTTGTGTTTCCAAATTTGAGGGCTCAGCTTCAGTTGCTGTATCTGTTGGTCTACTCAAAGTGTGCTCTGCTGTGTATAGGGTTTTTGAAGATCTGGTATATTTCAGAAGTGGATGGCCAATCCTCCTTCCTAGTCTGCCTTAATTTGGATGCATAGTTTTAGAAAAATATCTGACAGATAAGCATTTTACCAAAAGAAGCAGAAGAAAGACCCTTCCCTTACAGAAATAATCAATACATTCAGTGTGTCCTCCTCCCCCCAATGCATGTGTATTGTCCCTGTCCCTGCTACATCAACATCCCTTGAACTCCCGTTTACCCATCTGGCACCTCCCTTCCCCAGCCACCCTTTGATATGATGGCTTATGCCACAAGTCTCTTCTGTGATGTCTTGCACCACGCACTGCTACTGGTCTCTCACACTGATGTCTGTCTCGGATTTAAGTCCAAGTCTAATGTACCAGCTTCTGGGAAAGATTTTTGTCTGTGGTAGTTCTGGGGAAAGATTCTTGCCCCTGAACTTCTGCTTCACAACTGTGACATAGTTGTCTTTGCAGCTTAGTGACTTAGTGTCTTTGCTCTTCCTTTTGCACCACAATGCTGTCACAATGCAGTAATTTTCAAGTTGAGGATAGGACTCCTCTAGATCTGGATTGCCGGTGTTGGTATGCTGTGTGGGTCACAAAAAAATTGTGGCTAACCTTGAGGGGAATGAGAATCCCAGAACACTTGATTGTGTTTATGTAAAACCTATACCAGAAAGCAGTCCTCAGAACAGAGCAAGGAAACACTGCATGGTTCAAAATCAGTAAAGGAGTGTCTCAGGGATGCATCCTGTCTCCATACCTTTTCACACTATATGCAGAACAGGTCATTCAAGAAGCTGGGCTTTATGCGGGGGAATGTGGCGTTAGGAATGGAGGAAGACTCTTCAACAGTCTAAATTATGCAGATGACAAAACCTTGCTGAAACTGAGGAGGACCTGAAGTGCTTTCTGCAGAGGGTCAAGGACTGCAGTCTTCAATATGAATTGAAGCTTAACATCAAGAAGACAAAGATTCTCACCACTGGGTCAATTGGCAGAACCATGATGAATGAAGAAGAAATTGAGGTTGTTAGCAATTTCAGTTTGCTTGGCTCCACAATCAACATTTTTGGCACCAGCAGTCAGGAAGTCAGAAGATGAATTATATTGGGAAAATTTGCTGTCAGGAACCTTTCCAGAGTACTGAAAAGCAACAATGTCATTCTAGAGGCTAAGGTGCAACTGATCCAGGCATGATCTTCACAGTTCCTTGCTATGCATCAGAGAGGTGGACAGTGACTAAGAATGACAGAAGAATCAATGCCTTTGAGTTGTAGTTCTGGAGAAGAGTCTTGAATATACCATAGACTGCCAAGAAAACAAATAGGTTGGTCTTGGAGAGGGTGAAACCAAATTTCTCCTTGGAGGCTAGGATTTTGAAGCTCCATCTCACATACTTTGGGTATGTGGCCAAGAGGGATTGGCGAAGGACATCATGCTTGGAAGGGTGGAGGAACAGTGGAGGAGAGGAAGACTCCAGATGAGATGGATTTATACAGTAACTGGGGCAATGGGGGTAGGTGTTTCGGATTCAGTGAAACTGGCTCAGGACAGGGCAGGCTTCAGAGCTGTTGTACATAGGGTTGCTATGAGTCACAGGTGACTTGACAGCACAAAACACCAACAAAGTATGTTCGCTAAGCTACTCAGTTGGACTTATTTACAAGAGTGTTGTCAACTCTTCAGCACACACCAGAATCACCTGATGAACTTAAAAGTCACATCCATGTTCACCCAGGCCCAATCCCTAGGGATAGAGGCCAATCATTTGTATTTTTCGTAAAGCTTTAAAATGAGTGTAATGTGGGGCTAGAACTAGAATGATAAAATCTCTTATTTAAAAGGAAACATAATCATCAGACTCTGTGTTGTATATTGAACTAATTATTTTCCTTCTTTTTTCCCTCCTTAGTCCAAGATTTCTTTACATGTGGCCAAATGCTCGTATCTCAGTGATGGGTGGAGAGCAGGCAGCTAATGTGTTAGCAACAGTAGCAAAGGACCAGAAAGCTCGGGAAGGGAAACAGGTAAATGCCACTCTGTCCATCTCTGGGCTTGGCTTCCAGTGTTGTGTTCTCTGAGCCACGGAGCAGAGAGCCCAAGGACCACTGTGTTGATGGGTGGGCAACATTCTGACATGAGCTGCTTGGCTTTCTTTTAAATGGCTATTGACATGGAAGTCATTTCAGTAGTTTTGGCTTGCACACTTTCTCTATTTCTTCCTTCAGAGTCATTTCATTTAGGGTACCTTTTAAAATGTAGTAGTTTATAGGTTTCAGAATATCCAAGAAAGTACTTCAGAAACTGTGAATGTCTGACGCATAAAGGGGTTTGAGTCTTATTGTTGTTTGGTGCTGTAGAGACAAGGTCAACTTATATGAGCAACAAATCCGAACCCTGTCCTATCCTGTGCCATCCTCACAATCTCTGACATACTAGAGTCCGTTGCTGCAGTCACTGTGTCAGTCCACCTTGTTGAGGGTCTTCCTCTCTTTTGCCAGCTTCCACCTTTGCAAGCATGACGTCTTTCTCCAAATAATAGCCAAAAATAAGTGAGATGAAGCTATATTATCTTTGCAAAGATAATAAGTTTGAGTCTTAGTCATTTGTAGTTACCAAGATTTAAATGCATCTGATTTTATTTCTTTGATTTTATGACCTAAATGAGAAGGTGGTTTTTTCCCCATTTTACTTATTGGTTATTGTTGAGGATGCCTTGTGTAGGAGGGCTGCAGTTATCTCATGAGAAATGACTAACACTGTTACACTACAAAAGCATAAACGGGGCAAAATGGAAAGGGCAGTGGGACCACGATGAAAGGCAGATTAGCAAGTGATGGTTATAAGAAATGAGTTCTTTTGTTGGTGCTTCTGTTAATCTTCTAATAAATAAATAAATGTTATTTAAGCTTTTGTTCCAACTTTTATAACTCTGTGCAGTCAACAAGCCTTAACATTATCGTTACAGGTTCCTGAAGTTACTCAGTTGTACTGTCGCCCCAGGACAGCAGGGGTACATGGGGAAGGTTCTGCCTTCCTAGCCTCTTGGGCTCACTGTCCCGGAGTCAGCTGGTCAACCAACTAATCTGTGAGGTGTTCAGAGTTCATCTAAACAGCTACCTAGTTTAAATAAAAGACCAGAGAAAGTGGATCCTGCCTCCCCAAATGCAGCTATCCAGGCCTCATGCCTCTCAAACTCTACTGAGTTGAGGTGAAATTCAGATTCGTTATAGTGTCACTTCACACTCATTGCTACCTCGTTGGAACTGCCTCATAGCACACCTTCCGGTGGGTTTTCAGAGGCTGTAAATCGCACAGGAGGAGATTGCCCATCTTCCTCCCGCTGGTGGATTTGAACTGCAAGCGGAGCACTTGCCTTAGGAACACAATTCCTCACAGACTGTGGATGTCACTAGAAAGTTAGCCATCAGTCTGTTTTGACTTGACAGCAATGCAGTGAGGGTTTTGTGACGTTGCAGTTAGTAGCAAAGGGAAACCTCTGTGTGCATGGGTATGGTAGATGAGATCCCAACAGATATTTCGATGTGCCTTAAACTCAGTCCGGCATACATAGCTCGATGATTGTCTATTAGATACGTAGTGTGTATTTGTTATACACGTGTCTGAGTTCATCTATTTTCATGTGTCAAATGAAGTACAGGATGTTAGTGATCATCTCTCTCCAAAGTATTGACCTATAAGATGATGTTAAACTATTATTGTATCTACAGAAAAGGGGTGACATATTTGAAATAAAGCCTTTGTTTTTTATGTGGGACTCTTTTTAAGTTGAAACAATTTTCCTCCCAGGGTTTTAAAAGAAGTTCTTCGGATGATTTTTACACCTGAATTAATTATCACTTGCTTCTGGTAATATTTGCAGGGCAAGGCATTACATTTTTAATTAAAGGAAAATATCTCTTAGCTGTCTGGGAAATTGACTGCAGAGGTTATTCAAGGTGCAGTTGATGTTTACTCCTTTCGACGTGAAAATCTTTTTCCATCTTAGCCATTTTGAATGAAAATGTCATAGTCACCTTTTTAAACACAGGCTACTGGATACATTCAGCCCTTTGTTAAATTGTCTAATTCACATGCATTATTCTATTGTACTCAGCTACAGGACAGCAATATTCTTGTTTTTTGCTTTGCTTTAAATTACTTTCAAATATTGTTTCTGCTAAGGAAGATGTTGTTATGTGCCGTCGAGTTGCCTATGACTCATAGTGATCCTATGCTCTATCCTGTGCCAACCTTACTGCCTCTAACACACTTACCCTCATTACCCCAGTCACTGAATCACTCCATCTCCTCCAATGGGGCACTAATTTGATTTTCATATCTCAGGCGAGATAATGCGTAATCATTTGTAACTTATAACTGATTGTGCGTGTATGAGTTGTAACATTATTATTCACAAAATCCATTCATTTAGAGTTCCTTTCCCCCTCCCCAAGTCATAAAAAGGATCCTTTGTTTCACTGAAACACACTCTTTTTCCTTTCAGTTCTCCAGTGCTGAGGAAACAGCTTTAAAAGAACCCATCATTAAGAGGTTTGAAGAGGAAGGAAACCCATACTATTCCAGCGCAAGGTAGGAGTCACCAGGCCACTCCCTGGTGGGCGCATCCCAGAGAGCAGCAGCATTATGTAGGTCTGAGCAGTTGGGATGGTCCAGCCCTATGTTGTTGTTGTTATGTGCCGTCGAGTCACTTGCAACTCATAGCGACCCTATGTACAACAGCCCTAAACTCTGCTCTGTCCTGTGCCAATCGCACTATCTCCAATACACCCATCCCTATTACCCCAGTCACTGAATCAGTCCACCTCATAGAGGCCAGCCCTATGAGAGCACAGAAATTGTGGGAGTTTTTTTTGTTTGTTCTTTTTTTTTTTCAGGTAATATTTGATTTTGTGCTACTGTTGCTTTTAAAATAATTTTTTAGATTGTTGAGTGAAAATTGAGAACACACATTGATTTTCCATTAAAATGTGCCCAGGTATGGTTCGTGACATTACAAGCCCACCTGTAGCAGCACTCTTCTTGCCTTATCTTTGTGTTTCCTGTTTCCATTCATCCTTCTCTCCTACCTTCTGAGCTTCATCCCCTGCCGTGTGCTGGCCCTTTGATCATATATGACTGATTTTTTTCTAAGGAGTGCATTTCCCCCTGGTGTTATGAATCTCCTTAGAGACCTATCTGTAATTTGACTGGAAACTGAGTCACGGAATGCATGAAATTTGTTTTTAAAAGATGACTGAAGGGTTCACCAGTTTCTATCAGATTAATGAGTCTGTTTCACACTTCCCTGGCCTCCAAATCTGGCATCTTCTCTTGTGATCTCTTTCAGAGCTCCTGCCTTTTTATAATGGGAATCCCTGCTGCCCCTCTGCCCAATCTTCTTGGGCTGAATATTTACCACTGTTGTCCACTAACTCTACCAACTCCTGCCTCCCAGCTGATGGGTTTAGGGATTTGGGTGAGCTGCGGCTGGAAATGACTATCTCCTGGGCCAAACCAGGAATTAGGGAATTAAGGGTTCACTCTTGACTGTTACTTTGAGTTAATGATGCTGTGTCTTTTGCTTTGAAATATGGATTCCTGTCATACTGATAATTTTGTTTTAAGCATGAACAGTCATTAGCACTTGTTAGCAAGTGTGATATATCCAGGAGATTATTAGTCACAGACAGGCCCACGTGTCAGCAGAAAGTAATTACTTCATATGCATTGCTGGCTCTGTTTGTTTCTTATACCACTTAATGAGGTAATAAATTATCACGCTTGTCTCAGCTGGAGACTAGCTTTCAGACTTCTTTTTCCAACTGCTTTAATGTTCAGCATTATGAAAAAATAACCTAAGCTTCATGTCTTTCTTTTATCCCTTGGGCACATGGAAAAAAAACAACAACAAACAAAACCTAACCCACAAAACTCCAGCTATTTGTATTTTTAAAAATTAGGTTATGCGGTGATTTATGACTGTTACTTCTGAAGGCAAATTGGAAAGGAGGGTGAAGAGAAAATCAAAAGTGTAAATTCATTTCCATCATTTGGGTGTATCCTTTCTGGTAGCCACTACCTTTAACCATTAGGGCCCTAAAGACTAAACAGACCTGTTTTTAAGTTTCCAAGTTCATAACATGTCATTGGGGTTTTTTAAAAGTACTTTTCTCCTTGCTAAATATATGTACTTACAAGC